GTATAGCTTCTTAGCTTTCCAGTGCATAGTTTTATCTTACAATTTCCATATGAGCTTCTGGAATACTAGCTAATATGTGATATTTCATGTTGAGAATTGCAGCTCCACTTTCCTTCCAGCTTTATTTCGTACATAGAAGATAATAACTCTAGCCTTACAACCCAAGCTCTATTGAATCATGCTTGGACTTCTACAAATCAAAATAAAAACAAGTCGTTAAGTTCAGATATCACCAAGGTACATGTAACTCAACCTTTGTCTAGTACACAGCTACTCTGGTTGTTTTGTCCCCCTGTAATACTTACTATTTCTATTAAAAGGCTTGTGTTTTGTCATGCAACAGTATGATATATTCATAAAACTGCTATCGGTTTAGTGATAAAATCCTAACTGAGTAGGCCCATCATTTGAAAAGACATCCTAGTAACGCACAATTTTTAGCTATTAAATTGTGTTGCAGATAGGTGAGTTAATCCCTGACCATTGTATTTAAGGCCTGTTTGGTTCGTTTTCCATAAATAAAAGGAAAAGGAAAAGGGGAAAAAATTGATTTCCATGCGTTTGTACAAAGTTTTTAGGGACAGGTTTTTGGTAAGTGTCAAAAGTGGAGATTTCTGTTTTTTTAACTTTCCTTTTTTCGGTTTGGTTCGCTAGGGATCTCTCACTGAAAAAAATGGAAACATGCATACTTTAAAGAAAACAATTTTTTTTGGGCCGGGCTAATGTTTTTATATTGTTGATGTCAGATTTCCAGTAAATTTCCACCCAAAACTAGAGAATATCAATTTCTGTAAAACACCCCCTTTTCCCTACTTTATAGAAACACCTTTCTATAAAAATTTGGTGAACTAAACATCGTTTTAGGAAACCCAAAGAAAACTTTTAATTACAGAAGTGCCACTATTAGAGCTTTTCCATTTCTTTTTCACAAAATTGGTGAACCAAACAACCCCTTAAAGTAAAGTGCTTGTTGAAAAGAAACGAAAATGAATATGGCAGTATGTAGTATTTTTTGGCAACTAATATCTTAGCTAAAAGTGACATTTTGAGACCTTTATTTGTCTGTGTGACAAAGCTACCTGGTGAGATTTAGCAGATGTAATGGAAAACTGAGTATCATAAATATCATTATCAACTTTCATCAAATCTGAATTAGTAGAGTTAACCTGCTTACCAATAAGAGAAGCGTCTAGGTTGAGCCTACCCTTTTGTCTTCTGTCCTCTCTTTGTTCCAGGCAGCAACAAAGTCCCCATGGGTAGTGGAGCAGCTCTTTCAACGATTTTCCTGCCATTTCCTTTTTGCCCCCTTCCCTTTTCACCTTTTCTTCTTCTCTCTTTGTGTAAAAGACTGTAACACTTAGGTATCAAAATAAGATTTAGAATAATTTTTATTGTTACAATTTTCTGTAGAATGGAATTATTCAGCAATTTAGATGTTTCCGAATGAATTAATTACGGAAAACCCTATGAAGTTTTGGGGAGCTGCAGTAAAATCCCATCAACTTTTTTATTAGACTAAACCCCCTTAACTTTAGGAGTCATTGCACAAGCCCCCATGAACCATTTTCTTTCATTAATTTTTACCTGAAAATTTTATCCTTTAGTCCACATATTAGCATCATCAATTCTAACATGTCACTAGTAAGTACAAGGTTACAGAAAGCGCTAGGTGGTCTAGGTGTTGGGCCCGAGACCTAGAGCCTAGGTGGGCCTAGGCGGGTTTTCTTTGTTTAATTGTTAGTTACAATAATTGATAGTAAATGTCAATTTTCCAGAAAGCTTAGGCGTCAGATTGATGCCTAGGTAGATTTCTTTCTTTCTTTATTTAGTGGTGGAGCTTTTGCTGAAGGGAGGAGGTAGAAAAGGTGTTCATAGTTGGAGGTATGGGGAATTTGGAGGAGGTTGGGGAACATGAAGATTGCAATGGAGAAAATCACGATTAAGGCCTAAAGGATGCAGTCCACATAGACAGATCACGGTGCCCTAGGTGCTCCCATAACCTAGATGGGCAGCATATGTATCGCCTAGGCACTAGGCAGGCGACCTAGGTACTGCCTACGCCTAGGCATATGCATAGGCGAAGGCTTTTTAAAACATTGAGTAAGCACATGACAAAAAAAGATGAAAAATTCCTTGCTTACCCCCCCCCCCCCCCCAAAGAAAAAAAAATTCATTGAAAAGTAAAAATAGCTAATTTTGGTTAAGGAATATTTTCATTTTTTTTGGCACATGCTTTTTTTGGCCCAACATGAGATGTGAGAATCAATGATGCTAATTTGTAATTAAATGAAATATTTTCTTGTGAAATTAGTGAAATAAAACAGTTCATGAGGGTTATGTTGCAATAAGTCCTAAGTTCAAGAGGTTTTAGTGTAAAAAAAGTTGATGTGGGGTTTATTGGCAACTCTACAAAGTTCTCTTTTTTTTGGGGTGGGGGGGGTGGGGTGGGTGGGTGGGGGGTGGGGGAGGGTTTCTATAAAATTAACCCTTTCCAAATTGCTACTTAACTTTTCCATAGAAAGTTAAGATGGAGTCTCTAGTTATCAAAACTGTTGAATAAGGAGTATCCTACAATTTAAAAGTCAATAACATTACTTCATGCAGTTCAAAGTTGTAAAGTGGATGTGTGAGAAAAAGATGAACAAGTAAAGCTCTAAATCTCTCAATGTTTAGGGCACTTCTAAGAGGAAGTGGATGGTTCATTAATCTAATGGGACCATTGAAAAGTCTTATTTTCAGCATGGAGAAAAATTTCTGGTTGAACCATTGAAAGGTCTACTTTTCAGCATAGGAGAAACTGAAATTTCCTGATTCATGAAATCATGGAACTAGGTGGTGAAAGATAGATTAAAAAAATGACTTCATAATCTGAAAACCTATTTGAGATATCACAAGGACATAGCCTTGAGGCTTTTCTGGCTGAGATGCTATAAGAATGTATAAGAGGATGGTCAAAGAATTTTTCATGTTGCTATAACTTCATTGATAAATCACTAATAGAGATAACTTGATGGCAATCCGGTGGAAAAGCATAATTTGAAGACTCTGTAAGGTAATTGATGTGTATGATGGAAGTAAACTAGATGTATGAATGCCTTGCCCCCATTTCATATATTGTATGCACCATGAGATGGTGTTACACTTCTAAATCAGTTCAGTGCATTGAACTCAGATCATCCTGTGATCAACATTTCACCTCATGTTTACTTGGGGGTCACCACTATTATGTCACTCGTGGTCAGGCAGTTCTATCAAGTCCTGTGCAATTTAAGCCTCATGGAGAGGGAAATACTGCGATGTTATGCAATGATACGTGATCCATGAATGGTGACAGGTTTTTTTTCCGTCTAGTTAGAGGACTTAAAACATTGAGGTTCAAACTGGTGTTTAAGAAAGAGGTCTAAGAAACAACTTAATATATGAAAAGAAAGGATGGTTGTAAAACTGGTGCGTAAGTTGTGGAAGTAGTATGTTGAGTTAATCAAGTTACCGAGAGTGAGCCTTGACGTAACAATAAGGTTGTTGCCTTGTGACCTGGAGGTCATGGGCTCAAATCCTAGAAACAATCTCTTCGCATGTGGGGGTAAAGCTCAACATTTTAAATGTCGGATATCGGGAAAATATCGGATGACTAAAATTCATATCGAATTGCAGATATCGGGAAAATATCAGGGATATGTGATAAATATTAGAATGCCGTAGCAAATATTTGCATATATAACATAATGCACTAAAATGTAATCTCAACATACTTAATGAAAACTAAGCATACAAAATGCAAACAATATATATTTAGGCTCTAAGCATACAAAATGTAAACAATATATATTTAGGCTCGCTAATCAACCTTGTGAAACAAATAAAAGTAAAAATTAATATTACAACATTTCGTCTGATTTTTTTAGGGCAAAATGTCATTTGATATAATGAAAAAATCATGATATCTCGCCCAAAAATTACCAAACGTGGTATATTGTTTTGCAACAAGCCATATAAAAGGATATATTGGTCAACATATCGCTTGATATATCGGCCATATCAATGATATATCGCCCAAAATAGCCAAAAAGCGGTAAAGGATATTTAGTGACCATATCAGTTGCGGCAAGTCCTGTAAAAGGATACATCGAGCGATATATCTGGCCATGTCGGGGATATTTAAAGCAATGATAAAGCTGTGTACATCTGACTCTCCCCAGAGGCCATAATAATGCGAGCCTCGTGCACTGAGCTACCCTTCTCTTGAGGTAATGAAGTCACTGCTGGAGGACGATTTGATGCATAATTGATTAAGATGGTACTTGGTACATGGATGTATACAAATAGCTAAATACATCTGGTAAAGGAAGTTTGATGCATGACAGATTCAAAGTTTTTTTCGAATGTAGACCATAGTAGACAACGTTGTTAGAATATCAACTTTTATATTTGAATTTTCTCCTATTAGGATTTTAGAGTTTAGTTTGAATTTAAATTTTTGGAGTTTGATTTGAATTTCAATTTTAGGATGGAGGTATTTTATGTTTTAAATAGTAGCAGGATTAAAATTTATTTGTATTTGGAATTCTATTAGATATAGGATTTTAAACCTATCTAAAGGGTTATAGGTTTTCTTTGTGTTTAGAGACTGTGACGAAGTTTATGAATAAATCTCAGAGTTTTAGCATGTGAGTTGCTATGGTGGGCACACGATTTGCCAAGGCGTGAAGACATCATTTTCAGGTTTGATGTTGTGAGTGAATCCAATCTAGCCCAATTTATCTGTCATTATTTCTTTTGTTCAATCTTATTGTCCGATAGTCTTTAGATTATTTTTGATACAGGTGTATCTTCTCTCTGCATTTGGAGCTTAGCGATCCTCATGGGAGCTTAAGGATAGATGATTCTCATGGGAGTTTGAGAATAGAGATGTGGGTGGAGCCGTTGGTGATGGTGAAAGCAGTCAAAAGCAGAAAAACGACGAAATCAGGAATCTGACGACAAGTCTCTAGCCGACCGACCAAACACTCAGCATCGGTCGACCGAATTAGTGCACACTACAGGATGAGAAACGTGTTCTCTGGTCGGTCGATCGAGACACACTTATCGGTCGACCGATAGTGGGAGACTGGTCGATCGGTAGTGGTACATCGGTCGACTGGATCAATTTCCTGGGCCGAGTTGGACTCTGTTTTGGGACAAATCCTGATTGGGTTTTGACTTGGTTATTTACGATTTTGCAATTCACGTTGTTAGAC